TACGAAGAGAAAAAAGTAATTCGCGAAGCTTTAATTATTCAGAGGCGTAGATTGTTTTCGGCGCGAGGCGGCCAACCAAGATCCGAGTGCACGGTAGTGCGTAGAACATGTTCCAGCCAAATATAAAATGTTTTTATTGTTCAGTTTCTTTATATTTGTTAGAGGGAGACTTTGTACTTAAGATACCATACCAGATGCATCGCATCTAGATTTCTACCGCTTAGCAGCTGGAACATTAAAAGGTTACGGCGGCAAAACATCTTAAATTACAGAATTAATAACGCTTGAGAAATCTCCTCATACATTCATACATACATTTTGGAGATCACAGTATAGTTTGTAATATCAGTTATGTATCTATATGTATCGGTTATTATTTAATATGCGGGCCGTCAGCTTATTCATACTGTTACTGCAAGTTACATAAAAAAATTGGAATATGTATGTGATTTGATATATCAAATTATTTATAAATAACAATTGAAGACATTCTCATAATATGCAAATAATCCTGATATGATACATTTTGAATATTAAAATTCAAACATAACTCTTAAAATAAAAAACGTAAGAAGTTTATTTCAATGAATAAAAAACGAACCATGGAATAAACCTATTGATACAGGATTTTTGAAACACTTTTCTACGTTCCTTTTAAAAACAAACTTACCTACTGTATACATCTCTTTTTTCATACCATATCCCGGTCTCAGGTCGATACCCTCACTAACCCGAGGAATACAGTAAGGGTGAAATGTACTTTATGCGTAGTAAAAACCATGCCATAATAATGAGGTTACTATTATTTTGCTACTAGAAACTGTTCACGTGAAACAAAACAAAATGTATTAAAAGAACCGCAATATTTATGTTAAAAATTTGATCCAATGAATGTGCCAGCAATATGTTGTAAAATTATATCCTTCAGAGACGCTATGAAAAATACAGAGGCATAACACCTTAGTCCTCAGAAATGGGAACACATGGGAACTAACATGGACGAAACAGTATCCTCTGTTATGTCCATGGTACTGTTCATTTCTAGGCCACAGTTACCACTTTTTTTTTATACATCTTAGAATGGCAAACAAGTTGACGGCCCACCTGGTGGAAAGTGGTAACCGTTGCCTATAGACATGAGCAGTACCATGGACATAACAGAGTATACTGTTTCTCCCATGATACCCCCCATGCGTTACCATTCCATCAGGTGAGCTGTCTGTCAGCTTATTTGCCATTCAAAGTTGCATAAAACAAATATTCCATATATTTATAATTTTAACTAAATCGCTTAGCTACTATTTCTGACATGTTTTAAATATTACGTTCAGCTTTTTATTTTTATTTTTAGGTGTTGAATATACATACGTTAAAAATGTTTCTTACTTTTTTACTATTGTTCGTGATTTTTTTTTTATTATAAGTTTCTTTTCGCCAGTTATTTCATATGCATGGATTTCAGAAGTACGAAAACCAGAGAAATAGACCACTTCTCAATAGCGTATTAAAATGAAACATATACCAGATTTTAAATTATACCCTCAGAAAGAAATCTGTGAAAATGGCATCCAATTTGGTATAGTAATTTTGCGGGTATACAGGAATAATGCGGAAACAAACACACAGATAAATAGCCAAAAATTCTAAAAATTATTATTTTGGCTTTTATTGTCCTTAATAAAATCCTTCATATATTTTTATTAAATGTCCTTTATGTATAGATATTGTCTAATTATAATATTAGTAAATTTTTAATAATTTATTAGATCAATCACTTTCAGCTCCACGTGTTAAAATTTTGTAATCTAGTTTCTAGTCAGGCACAGTTTAGCTACTAAATTCGTAGTCAATGTGACAACAGTATCCATAGAACTGAACGTTTACTTTGGAACAATGACATTTGAAATGGGTCAGCCATGATACGGCCAACTGAGGCGTAAGGAAACTTCTACCTCGAACAGGGAAAGTCAATTCAAAGTGAGAACTTTTTTAAAAGGTTAAACCAGTACTGAGCAGCAGTTTTATATTGATTTTAAAATCGTCCTCAGATGTTGTTGTTCTTGTATTTGTCTTAAGCTCTTCGAGTAATTGTGCACTCAAATCTTCGTTAGTAAACACTGAATAATTTATTGGCCATTCTAAAAGGGCATAGTTGGAGGTTACTCTGAAACAAAAGACGTAATAAAGTTTAGTGAACCTTAACGCGCCAAAGGGAGGCAACGAAGCAGTGAATTTGCAAATCTCAAGTATGACTATATACATAATATTCTTCTGGTTTCACTTTACAAAATGCAATGTTATTATTAATATTAAATAACATTTATTATACGTACGAGAACAGTAAGTAAAATACAAGTAAAATCCAAAAGCAAACTACACATTAACAAGTAAAATATTTACAATCAATAAAAAATAAAAACGTTCACGAATCACTACAATTGGACTATCCAAACAGCTGGCCGACATTTCTCTGTGTGTGGCCAAACTAACACGCTAACTTAATTAATTGCCAACTCTTTATTCACCAGAGAAGCCGATCAGGCAATCGGAGATTTGTTTAAATAATCTTCTAGCCTTCCAGCCTTCTATTTCAAACTACATACAAATACAATACTCATCTACAACTGAATATCGCTTTAAAATCGTCTCAATTTTGATATATATACCCAATATCGGCTACATAACGACTGGATAAAGTATACATAAACTATCAAAAAGTTGCGAAATCAATAGTAGAATTTTTCCTAGATAAATTACAACATATGACTCTTTTTATTTATCTTTAGTTATACACTACGTGACAGTATTTTTTTTATACACAAGTGGTCTTTAAACCGCACTTATTCCACTTATATAAGCTTGTAGATATATGATGTATGATACCACTAACTAAACATATTTTAGTAGCATGTAAATATACCACCTACGTAGTGCAATATTGAGGTTTGAAGCGCAATAGTCCCCTTTAATACAAGTATGTTAATACAGCGCATATAATTTCAAGCATCACGCGCTCATGAATAAGGGTAACCATATTTTATCATAAACCTAAACAATGTAAAACAAAACGCGAACAACAAGTCGAAATCCAGTGACAGTATTCATGAAACTAAAAATCTTCCTCAAAAGTACAATTCTTAATCTGTATTCCCAAGAAATATGTCATCATCATCATCATCATCATCATATCAGCCTTTAACTGTCCACTGCTAAACATAAGCATACCCCTTGGGGGATTTTGCCGTAGTTGGCACGCTTGACAAGTGGATTGTCAACCATAGTTAGGCTAAGGAGAAGAGGGATGCTGTTGCCCATTTCTCGCCCTCCCTTAGGTGCCTCTTACGATACCCACGGGTTAGGTGGTCTATTCTATGCCGGGACCACATGGCGAAAATATAAGTCAAAATATTTAAAAATATTTTTTAATGTCATTCCAAATTGGTTACGTGGTCGCAGAGTTTGTATTAAAATTTGAAAAAATAATGCAGTACAATGCTATATATACCTATAAAGAGAATAAAAAAACAATATTTCTCGTTACTTTAGCATTATGATTGATTATTGTGATCCAAAGTAGTCATTTGCGCTAAGTGTACGCACCGTGATACAAAATATGTTAAACATGAAATTATGAACTTGAAAAATGAAATTCAACTGAACATAAGTAATCGGAATGCATTTACTTGACGAATATTATAGTAGAATCTGAATCATTTACCAAATTATTATTATTTAAATGTTATTGTATACTGTCATTTTGAGATAAATACGACTGGCTTATTCATGCACATAACAAAAGATGTAAATAAAAAAATAATCAGATGAAATTTTCTGCAGCAATATACCTTCTCAGAATTAATTCATAGGCCTTTATTTAATAAAAACATACGGTCAGTTTCCTAAAACCATCCCATATGTTACTATTATATATAGGATATGATGCGTATACTTACCCACTGGGATCAGTTATCCTGAGTGACATTATCCTTATTGGGTACTTAAACAAAAACTATATTTAGCTAAATCCCACATTATTTGAGAAAATGTTTATAATTAATTTAATACTTTGTTCCACAAGAAAATTGCTATTCGATTATAATAAAATTAATATGAAATTAATATCTCCAATTACCCTATTTGTTATAAAAAAAAATATCAAAATCGGTTCAGAATTGATAACTCAATAAGTACAGAAAAAAAATATAAAACAACATTTGAAATTTAAAAGCAATTAAGTATAATCATATCCTATCCTGCCATAAAATATATTTCAATATATATAAATAACAACACAATATATGGTAACCCTGTACAAAATCTATTAAAATATCGCGATTGTCGCGTCCCGGCCGCTATATCGCCTGAATAATGAATACACGCACGCCCCGTATATTGGCCTCTTTTTAATTTTCCATCGCTTACACGGGAATAAATGATAACGGATACGGAGCTCTGAATATTATATTAATAAAAATTATATTAGCTTTGATTTAACACCCATCTATATTTTATTCATAATAAAAACATAGCCATATTCCTTATATTATAATACCTTATTTTATCGCTGGAAACCCAGAAATATATATAATACCTACATATACCTCATCATTAAATTAATTAGTATTTTGAGACACACGATCATGTAGACTCCTAACTAAGAATAAACGGAGTTATATTTCAATGAAAATAGCGACGGTGATATTAGAGAATTGAAATGTGAGAAAATGAAGGCATAATGAAGACGACCCACCTCGGCCGGAAGCCATTGCTCCGTCGCACGTCGTTCTGTGCGACGATATCCTGTGCAGCTCAATTTCCTGGCCCGTGGAAATTCCCGTCGAGTTTTTATTTGCTCCCTTCATTCCGGCGTTGCGCTGCGCCGTTTCGTTTTATCTGCAAATGTTATCGCGCACCGGTCGCCGTGATTTCGGCTGCCCTCAGAGGTTGTATGGTGTATATATTTGAAACATATCGGGTGTCAGCAGTTATGACACCTGTCAAAAACAAACTTTTTGAGATAACAGTATAATTTTTCGAAACAATATTTTGTTAAACTACAAAAATGCCGTGGAGCTGGGAATGCAGAGCGAAGCTTATCAAACAACTGCCCTCGAAACCGGCCGAGCATCGGCGGCCAGTGGCAGGCGAGAGGGCATCTCCAGGGCCCAATCAATACGAGGCACCGCAAATATTTTGTAAATAATTAATTATACGACACACATTTCCGTATTTTAAACACAGAATATAGAGTAGCGTTCAGATTTTACATGAAATTGTATACTAATATTCACTGAAACACAAAGTGGAAATTAATAAGTAATTGCAATGATTGATTATTAAACTATTAAACTGTAATTATGTATAATAATATATAATATAACTATGAAATCTGTAATTAATTATTAAACTATTGATAATTCATAAATGGGATATTGAATAGAAATTATTTTTAAAAAAATATTATTATTTCTTTTTAGTTTCAAAATAAAAATAATTCATAATATTTTATGCTGAAATATTAAAAATAATTTGTATTTCTTATTTTCTTTTTTTATTTGGTAGGTGGCAATGGTTACTCGAAAATAAGACGCTCTCCAGCATACACCTTCGGTCATCGGACACGATCGAGTTTCAGCAAACCTGTCACTACACCATTTGCCCCCATGTTCAACTGTCGGGGCTTAGGGACCAAAGGTATATTTTATGATACACTGTACTCGGCTACATTAAAGTACAAATAATAATATTAACTTTAATGGATAACCATGATTGTAACAAACTCAGCGCTGGAAATTGTAGTAAAAGTAGGTACTAATTCATTTGTACATTTGAATCAGCTTAAACATTTGTGTCTGAACTAGGTTATAAAAACCTGTATCTCAGACAACAGCGCTCAACTTTCATTAAATACTATAACATTAGCTCAGCAAAATTACGAATATAATGAAAGTAATTACCAATTATCATCTCTCTACCTCAAAAGGTCAAATCCACGACTACTAAATTTAATAGTAGAAATCGTTACCAATTAGCTAATTAAAATATGAAATTTATACAACTTTTTCCATTTTATTTCATTTTATGTAAATAATCCTTAATGTTAATTAAATATATTAAATATACATAAAAATATATAAAAATTCATATCTCTGACGTGTAAGCGATAACTTTACTAAAATATCTAGAGATCTTGATTTAGATTTATCTAATTCTAAGATAGAATATACATGTGCAATGTGTATCAATACATGTGCTAAATCAGTGGTTCTTTGATACTTTATCTTTGAACGTGTGATTTTAACTTTTTATTTTGTATAATTTAATATAAATTGATTTACAATTAATTCTCAGCAATGCAATTATGCAAGTTACATAAAAAAATAGTCATTAAAAAAATTTGATATTACATTTTTTATGGTATATAACAACGAGTACCGAAAGATATACAATAGTAAAAATTTATACAGTTAATTGACAATATATCGACTAATACCGATTGTATTTCTTAGAATTATGGAGCCCAAATAAAAATAGTATGAATTTTATGATAGCACTTTACATCAATGAAATATATTATTAATAAACAATTATGTAAAATGTTTATTATTACCTCAGTTTTATATATAAAAAGCCAAATACAAAGCTAATAATTACCTTAGCATATAATAATTACTAGATTTGTGGTCTTATATTACTCATTTTTCTCGATCGATACTATTCTTCCATCTAGTTTACTATTAAATCTATCTATCTACTCTACTTTATCTCTTTTAATATAACTAATAATAAAAATGTCAACCATTTAATTAAAAATATTACTCTACTGATAAATTCTCCTCGCTTCATCCTATGTACATAGTTTCCATTGTATATTCCTAGCGCCAACAACTAGGTAAATGCTCTATTTATTCGCCTATATCTTTACAAAATGTTTTTATTATGACACAATGGCAGACACGCTGACGGCCCAACTGTTGTAAGATCACATCACTAGTGTATACGGGACATCGCTAGAGTTGGACACGGATTGGTTGATTATTGTATAATAATGGCTGTCTGATTAATGAATAAAGAATTAATGAATTAATGAATAAAGAATCTGCAATAATAAAATAAACCGTCTTTTATTAAAAGACTATAAAAATGTAACACCATCCTATGGAAAGTGGTAACACCATCATCATCATCACATAGTATAAAACACAGTCGCTGTCGCTGTCTGTCCGTCCCTGTGTATGCTTAAATCTTTAAAACTACGCAACGGATTTTAAAGCAGTTTTTTAAATAGATAGAGTGATTCAAGAGGAAGGTTTATATGTGTAATACATGTAATACTGTAAAGAATAATACTGTAGAGAAACATTGATAAATTTAAAGTTTTTTTAATGTAATGTCGTAAATAAACACATTTTTTGTGCTTACATTGCAAACGCTAGCTAAACCCCACGAGATAAATCAAAACAATGTACTACAGTTTTGTACACCTTAAAAAGGCTAACAAAAAAGTCCGCGATGGTATATATCTATCTTTTAAGGATAACCCACCATAATCATTTTTTATACTTTATATTTTACATTTGATTCATTATTTTTATCCAATTAAGTACCTTAAATACATAGTCCATTTAATATAGACCAATATGGCCCTTTATCATGTTTGTATTGTCTAATGACAACGTAGGTATATTTAGTATCAGCATTACACCCGTCGAAGCCGGGGCGGGTCGCTAGTCACCTATAAATATGAACAATGCCTTAGAATCGCAGAATATACTGGAATACCCATGGTAATCCTAATACGTTGATATTCCTAAGGACTATGATGTTATGCTTAAGCATCCTGTAATTTCACTGTTATATATGCTTTACCCTTCTCACCAAAACGGAGCCATAAAATCACAGCTACTTTACGGCTGTTTTAATGGATGAAATTATAATAGTGAACCCGTCTGCGCTAGCAATATACGCTGGCGAGGCACTAGTGAAAGATGATAGGTGAGGATGAAGGCAAGTCAAGATGGTTTCCAGGGGGAACTGCGTTAAGATTGACCTAATAGGATATAATGCTAGCAATGGGGCTATGTTAGAAACCATTACTAACAGTCCATTTCCCCTAGCTTACGACAGAAACTCAAATAAAACAGAGATACCAATGCAAACAACTTTTCTACAAAGCCTTCTTTTGATAAATGTCTTTTACAGTAAGGCATAGACAATTAAATACCAACTGTCTCTGTTTACAAAATCTCTCACCAGGTCAATATAAAATCAGTCATTGCGTCGTCACACCACATATTGAACCTCCATGCAATAGGCTGAAAATACCAGGACCGGCCACATACGCACCTACAGCCGTGACTCGTTACAAGCGACCCCCAGCGTACAGCATACGGCCCGCAGCAAGACAACCGTACCAACCTTGGGATCAGTGGACACCTCCACCCAATATGTACTACCCACCAATACCTAGGGCGTAAGAAATTATTTTTAATACTAGCTTTTACCTGCGACTTCATCTGCGTACTTAGAATATGTTTATTGACTGAGATAAAAAAATATGTCCATCCCATATACCAAATTTTATAACGATTGATTGAGTCATTAAAGTGCTGAAAGGTAACAAATAAATTGATAATCGTATAAAATGTGAATATATAAAGGTAATAAACAAACTAACTACATATAATAAATCTTATACAATAATACCAAACAAACTCATTTTCATATTTATAATATTAGTAAAGATTTACATAGCTTTATGCCAGGTATTTTATTGAAGAAATCTCTCCTACTTCAAACACTGTCATAATTTAGAATTTAAAAAATCATATTAGTATATCATAAGAATTTATTTCTTCATATTCCTATCATTGATATAATAATGCGAAATGGCCAAAACATACATACAGATTCTAAAAAACAGCACTGAAAATAAAGTGCACCCATTTAACCAACTACCAAAGTTTGTAGTCAGACTTAACAAAATTTTCTTACAACACTGTTCAGAGGAATAACACCTGAGTCCTCAGGAATAGCAACACATGGAGAGTATCAGAAACGAAACAGTATACTCTGTTATGTCCATGGTACTGCTCATGTCTATAGGCAACGGTTACTACTTTTCATCAGGTGGGCCGTCAGATTGTTGAAGTTGCATAAAAAAAACTTCACGAACGTCTTGTCCTAATATAACTGTCTACTTTTTTTTATTGGTGACAGTTATAAATGTAACTTTGTATAAGGATATAAATAAAAACTCTATTATTGTACAGTAAAGTCTTAAATTATAGGAGATTATATAAACAGAAAAAATAATATAAATTATTAAATGTTTTTACATTTCATCTTTCTTCTGATTTCGTATATTCTCTGATTTCACACCGAGTTGTATTATGATGTAAGTAAATAATATTATACACACAAAAGATGCTGATTAAATTTCAGAAAAGCGCCAGCATATACTCTCGGTTACATGGAAAGAAGCTTAAAATCGCAAAATCTCCCGGGTCCCGGCGAGCACGAACCGAACTTTGACTACGTCAAGAAAAATAAACCTGCATTCTCGTTTGGTACCCCATTCAGGCGTTTAATACCGCCGAAGACGCCCCCACCGAATGCTTACTGTAAGAAAAAGGTAAGCAGACAATTTACTTAATATATATTACTCTAAACTTAATCAAACTTATGAAGTAATAACTGCCTTCGGTTTTGAAGTGGCAAATATTTGCTGTGAAAATGCTTACGTTTAATGAGATTTCTTCGAAAAGATTAAAATTGTTGAGCAATATGCAATAATCATGATTTACCATCTACAGAAGGAAATCTCTTATTACAATTTGATAAATTTTACATTTGATATTGACAAGTTAATATAAATATTAATTACAATATATTAATACAAATTCCAATATACCTATTTTATTTCTTATACGTGAAATAATTGGTAAACAATCTTACATATTTTCATCAAATTTAATTATTTAAAAATAAATCAAGCTAAAAGTAAGACACAACTAATAACCTTCTTATAATAAGTTTTTTCCCCCCATTTTATGCACTGTTATTTCAGTAAAACAAATAAGTCAACATCATTTACTGAATATGTCAATATACATAAAAGAGACCATAACTATTCATACCAGGTACTCGTACAATATTTCAAAAAGGTGTAACTTTCATAATACTAACTACAATACAAAATAGAACTCCATACTGTCTTTACAAAGTTTGTTCTTGTTCCGTCTACACGAAAACATAAATGATTCACTTAAACTGACGAACTTGAATATAACACAAAGATCTATCTCAAAAATATCTGGGAAAGCTAACTTTCTCTTTGTATTACCACTGATAATAAGCAGTCGTTCATACACGACATTGCCCAAAGTTATCCCATTTTCCTCTAACTCCACGCTTTCATCTCTATTCCTCTTATAGTTTAAATTATCTATTTTAAATGTCTATCTTTAAAAGAATAATTTTCGTTATCAAATTTTAAATGTACTTTTAAAAGACACCTCAATTAAAATAATTGTCGAGTGTGCAAAATTAAGAACAATTATTATATAAATTGTCTAGTTTGTTTAAAAATTGTCACAATATTGTACACCGCTCTACCCACTGGCATTGATGCTTCTTTCCACTTTGGGTTTGCTGGAAGAAAACTCTAAAGTTAAGCTCGCCTTTGTACTTTTGATTACCTCTGTCATATTCTTATAACTGATGTGTACAATAAAGAATTAAAATAAATAAATAAATGTAATATGAAAAATGTATGTATCTAAATATGCTAAATATATTCATTCATCGAACTTTCACTTAAATATAATTCTGTTAATAGCTTTAATTTCATTAATCATCCCTTTAAGCGTGATTGTGTAAAAAACATTCAACCATTTAATTTCACGTTTAGTGGTTTTTAAAACTTTTTTGTAGTAATTGACAATTCAATTTATTTATTTACCAAACGCCGTTGTCCTCCTTCTTATGAATAATAACGTGTAAGTTGTGCAATGGACATTACAATGCACTCAGTAAAGGCCATGGCACTGTCCATATCTATAGGCAAAGATATTGAAGTAGGTTTTATGTGTTATGTTGGTCTGTGGAGCCCACGCGTTGCTAGGTTACTTTTTTTCTGTTACTTTCAATCTAAAGTTAAATAAAATGTAATACGCTATATAGATTTCCCTTATTTTATTTCATCAAAAGATTACCATTTTCCATGAAGTGAGGCCTCAGCTTATTTGCCGTTCTAAGTATCATAATCATACCTATAGAAATCTACATATCGTTGATAATGTAGATTTTTAATTCACGTATTTTTTTTTCAAAACGATTGAATAAATTTTGAATTTATCTATTACAAACAAACATACAAACAAGTAATCAAATCTTTCCACTTTATAATTATAGTATACATATATAGGAATAGCAATATATGGTTGTAAAATTAATCTTTTTTTATTGCAGTTTATGGTAACGAAGAGAACAATACCGGCTCCGTCGTTTGGTATACGTCATACGCCTTATTTGGGGCGTCATGAAGTACCTTTGAAATCATCTAAATTAGATTTAATATTAAACGACGCTCATTAAATTAATTGCATTTTATTAACAATTAAGTTAGATAATTATATACGTAATTTCTTGTAATTTTATTTATGTACCTACCCGGCTTATTTATTAGGGTAATATTTCTTTGATTTTATGTACTCGCATGTAGACAATAATAAAGTTTTACATTATCTGCATATATTTTTTTTTTAATTTCTATTAATTGTACAATTATAATAATAGTATCCTTAATGTTCACATTATCTATTAAAAATAAAGTTAAATATCATTTACTAAATAAACTTTATCCTTACATTGCATAAATTTGAAAGTACTACTCTCACTTAACACCTTAACGACAACCAGTCACTATGAAATTTGGTAAATGAAATTATCGATATAAGACGAAATCACGGGTAAAAACAAGTTAACAATAAAACACAACAACAACAACAAGCAATAAATAGGATTGCGCATAATATATTATACGTCGATTCTAAAGAACTGTGGTGTATACCTGTGTAACAAACCTCAAAACTTTGAGAACGCCTTAGAAGCATACCGTGAACCTAAAGTTATAAATTTTACTACGATAAATAGAATACTAAAGTCCAAATGTACGAGTACCTATGACATTTACGCCAAATTTTCATAAATAAATAGTTCTAGTATGAAGGCATCCATAAAAATATCGGATTTTGTTTCGTTTCTACTTGATTATTATAGAAAAATTCAAATAAATTACTGTATAATATATATACACCTAGGTTGTCCTAAATTCTCACGGAAGCAGAAAATTAAGGGTTCCACGGAAGCAAGTTTATGATTTTTAATTTGAATTTACTCTGTTAAATTTACATAGCATACCCAGGGTTGTCGTTCATCTGAATTTTTCGGATTTTTATAAATTGAACATCCACGATCTGCACGGAATGGGTTTAACCCTACAATGCATGATTTTTTTAAATCGTGTCAAAAAAATATATGTGGTTCTATATAGTGTCTAGACATAATAAATGATAATAATAACAATTAAAATTCATTGATTTTGTGGATATTTATTTTTTCAATTCTGTTCCATATGTGGTACAGTATGCATTAACACTAATATTTGGCTTTTAATTAGGAACAATGAACATAATCATATATTTAGTTTTACATTAAGAATAGCTTTATTTATGAATGAAATTTATTAAAATAATTATTGTCTTTATTCAAACACAACTCAACACAACACTTTTCGCAAAATATATATGTATTTCCTTTACATTGTGGATACTTATAGCATTGTCTCTTCTCATTCCATATAGGAAGATGATCAAATTTATCAAATCTTACATCTCGAGGGGGAAGGATTACTTTTTCTTTCTTTTTCTCGATCATGTCATCTGTGGTAGAAGGCGATCTTATTCTTTTTCTTTGTAATGATGGACCACTCATACAAAGTCTTTTAGCGATTTCCAGTTTAAAATCTTTTTATTTAATCTGAGTTAGCTCATTCTTCTATTCTCCTACCCTTTTGTGCAGTAGCCAGCAATTTATGGTGACAATGTCTAGAAAATGTTAAAATAAACACAGATACCATCTTTTAGTATGCATTTTTATTTTATACTTTCCAAGTAAGAACTCCAAAACTGGCATAGTGAAAAAACTTCTACTTTGGTGTCATGACGTACTTGGCCCTGAAATGCTGGCTTGAGAATTTGTTGATTTTTTATTCTCATTTTCAGCGAAGGTAGTACCACAATTAGTAGAAGAAAATGATGCATACCTGGTAGGGTCAATATAATTTTAAGAGTCACTATCTTTATTCATTTATTGCAAGTTTTCTCTGATTCTCGCCATGTTATCATCATTTTCCGCGTCCAAAAAGCCTTGACCGTCTTCATTCCCTGACGATATACCCAACTACTGCTCAATCAACTCGTTAGATAATACCTTCTTCACCATAATCTGTAATAAAATGCAACCGAAACAAAATGTTAGAAGTGAACTAATGCATGATGTGCCATATCTGGTACTCTTAAATAAGTTGATATGTTAGAACATAAAACAGTAATATTTCAAAAAATAACTTACCTTCATTTAATATACACTATATCCAATGTAAATGTATTTTTTCCGCTTCCAAATATTCAAAAAGCAATTTTTTTAAGAATTTTCTATTTACGTAAACCACGAGTTTGCGTCGATCTTTGAAATTGTGTACGAAATACAATATCAATCGATAGCTAACACGTACTGGTGACAATTGCCATTACTAAACCGTTGCTAAATGTATAAAGATTATTCCGTTGGTCGACAAAAGACGCTAGGTGTCTTTAAACGAACAGTAGACTTAATTATTTTATTTGACCAGATATGGTACAGAATGCACTGTAGGGTTAAAAATATCCGGAAAAATTGCAACAATTCCTTGATCACACAAACAGTCATTCGATCCGTCTGACGGTAAAATGTTACTGTATCCTATAAAGGTCCATATGCTATGGCAACCGTTTACTGGGGCCTGTTTATCACGCACGCGTTATCAATTTTTAACAAACCTTATTACGCCCTTTTTGAAAACCCTATGCTGTAGTCTCTAGAGAAAACCTCAACAGGAAGTTCATTTCACAACCTGAACGTTCGGGAGAGGAAACTCCTCTGAATGATGAATGAATAAGACGATAAATTTCAATAAATCGTAGTTATAAATTTACTTGTAAATTATACCTAAACCAATGAGGTTGTCTCTATTTATATAACGCAAACAAACAGTGATGAAAAAATTAGAATAAAAACCGTAGTTATAAATTTCCTCTTTAAAAAAAAAAATATTTACGGCTTGGAAAATTTTGTCCAGAGTTGACAAGTTATATACTGGCAACCCTAAGCATACCTAATTACAATAAAAATTACTGCGAATGTTCAGGTTGTGAAATGAGATTATTACTGAGAATTTCTCAAGAGACCAAGTACATTGTGAAGTTCTTTAAAAAGGGGCGTAATGTTGTTTCTCCATTATCGACAACTTCAACATCCATATACACATAGCATATGGAAGTTGTCTAAAAACACGCCAAATTAACAAGCAATGTACATCTACTTGCGTCATCTATTTAACTTCATATCTGAAAAGAGGCAAAGTAGACCATCAACAGGCGGGCTTCATTTGATTTTAGCTTCTTTCGAGCTCGCCTAAACGAGTTAAACTTTACACAGAACTCACTCAAATACTATTCGAAGTAGAACGGCGCAGATCTAAAGTGCAATTTAATGGTTCGGCCACGCGGACGCAGTATTAAAACACGATCAAAGTTAATTTTGCAAAGTTTTATTCAAAGTTGGCCAGTTACGCTGATTTGTATGCAGGGAGATCCGAACGTTTCAGCGACCACACCGGCGTAAATATAAACTGGCTCCTATGGGACCACTTTAAGTTTTTCTATCCATTTTTCCCTATGCATTTCATATTGTTGCAGACGCTTGGTCCATTCCAACAAAGAACTATAAGTCCATGAAAGCTTTCGAGATCGAGCTCGGTGAATACCGCACTAAATCAAAAGAGCAGTAAATAGGTGACTTTGAGTTCCGCATTTAAGAGGTATTTGGAACATTACGGTGAGATTTAAATATTTCTCCGTCTTTTATGTTACGACTGTTAGTTGGCCATTGCTTGCTGTAGATAGTTAACGACTTTCCATCCAATAAACTGTTGACTGATTTGTTATTTGTAGTAGTAGGTATAAAAAAAACTTACCTTTTTGTTTTGATTTATTTTTATATAATAATTGTTATTGGTGATAGTATAAATATCGCTGCAATATCCGAGGATAATAAAATATCTTTATACTCTGAATATTAATTTTCAATATCTACTTAATCAAAACTGTAATTAGTTCTCGGTAATACATGTCATTCGTGAGACAATCTTTATAAGATAAAACTACTTCTTCTCAAAACTAAAACACGTCCATCAACTACTGTTTCAACTACTGTTCTATTTAATAATCCAGCACGTAGCTAGACTTCAAATCTGATTATTGCTACAATTAAAATTAACACTTATAAAATCCCATGATAATAACCCTTTTATTAATAGAAACTAATCTCCTACGAACTTATTTTGTTAACTTTTTTCAAATTAAGAATTTAAAGCACAGGAATACCATTCAATAGTTAAATTAGACTTTATCATATATTTAATATTATATACGAGTTTAGTCTCTTATTCTTTACATAGTTCAAAGATTCTTTTATCGTGACGGATCAACTCGCACTCAATATTTGTGTTCAATTTGGGGCAAACAATCGCTATCCTAATTTCTTTAAAGAAATTCTAATAATTTTGATTTATACTGAATATATCCGAGTGGAGTATATATTACTTGCAATCTCCCTAGAACTATTACCTTGCAGTATAAACACGCCATCTCTAACGACTGGGAATGGCCCTCATCTCCGCAGCGCACCACTGTTGATTTTCGATGATTAAGTTTGCGTTGTGCAAGTGATCACCCCCATTTGTTATTCGTTTGACTAGTGAAGTCAAACACGACCAACTACTCATAGATCGAGATGTATTTGTAGAGAAAATCTTGCTCGTGTTAAACAGGAATTCACAATTTTGCGTCGAACCCTGCCATCTTAAACAAGTCTTTTAGTTTCTACTGACCAACGGTTAGGATATGGTGATGATTGGATTTAATTAAGAATATATGAAACACTGAAAATAAAATAGTATATTTAAGGGTCGGATAGGGAACGTGAAAATTGTTTTCACTGATTGTTAATTTAAAATCATATTCATTTTAGATTTATTTTAAATTCTTAAATAAAGATTTTTGATTATTTATTGTATATATAATTTTTTGTACACGTTTATATTGTTATTTTTACGTTTATATTGTTATTTTTTATTTATAGTAGATTAAGAGCAAATTGGTGAATTAGTCTTTTATTCATGATAAATCCTTTTAAGACTTTGAAAATCTATTCTAAAAGCCGTTATTTATTCTTAAGGCAGTGAGTTAAACCCACTTAATATTTTTTTTATAATTTTAGTGGTTACTTGATACTATTGCTTTCTTAATTTTTTTTTTTTTATACAACTTAGAATGGCAAACAAGCTGACGGCCCACCTGATGGAAAGTGGTAACCCTGTAACTATGTAACGCCTATAGA